CTCCTCACCTCCTGGAGACAGCACCCTGGTGCCCCGCCACCTCGCTCCTGTGTCCTCACCTCCTGGAGACAGCACCCTGGTGCCCCGCCACCTCACTCCTCACCTCCTGGAGACAGCACCCTGGTGTCCCGCCACCTCGCTCCTGTATCCTCACCTCCTGGAGACAGCACCCTGGTGCCCCGCCACCTCACTCCTCACCTCCTGCAGACAGCACCCTGGTGTCCTGCCACCTCGCTCCTGTGTCCTCACCTCCTGGAGACAGCACCCTGGTGTCCCGCCACCTCGCTCCTCACCTCCTGGAGACAGCACCCTGGTGCCCCGCCACCTTGCTCCTGTGTCCTCACCCGAACACCCCATTTCGGTCAAGGCCTCAGGCTATGCGTTGGATGGGCAGGGCAACAGTTCCACTCACACCACACTTTGGTCTTCATTTTCTGCCTCCAGATTTGAAAGGAAATACATTTCTGTTCCCCTAGTCTACCAGCAGTTGGTGAGTGAGCCCCACTCAACTAACACAGTTGTCATCCACTAGATGCTGAGCGGTTTGTAGGCAGTGGGGGACACTGGATGTGAGGGGACCTAGCGGCCTGAGGGGACAGTCTTAGTCCATTAATGCAATTGAAGCAAATTAGCCAACATGTAGGAATTTGTGCAGCTTTTTCTGAGTTCTGGTGGCTGAGAGGTCTGTGATGAAGGCATTGCGTGGTCAGGGTCTTCTTCCAAGGTGGCATCCTGGTGCTTACAGGGTAGAAGGCAGAAGGGCAAAAGTCTCGGGCTGTGGGAGGCCTCGCAGTCCCATGCCCTGCGGCCCATCCTCAGGACTCGCCACTCCCTGAAGGCCCTGATGCTATTGCCCTGCTGATTAAGTTAGCATACAGGAACTTTGGAAGAGATAGACACATTCAAAGCCTAGCAGACAAGGCCAGGGGGGCCTAGAGAGCATCCCAGGCTCAGACAGCGGCCTTCTCCAGGTCCCAGAGCCCCCCGGGTCTCTAACTTATGCAGTGCTGTGGAGCACTGCGCCTGGGCCACCATGCCCACCGTTTTGCTGCGGCCCCGCAGGAGCCCCTCCAGAGGCCCCTCTGCTGCCGCAGATCTCTTGCTGTGGAAGCATTTCGCAGATCAAGCTGCAGTGGCCGACTTCGCCCTGACTGCTTGATCCTTCCTGCTTCTCTCGCCTCATGGCTGCTTCCACCCAAAGCCTGAGTCACAGGTCAATTCCATGCAGTTGGCTGGAAACATGGGCCATTCTGGTTGGTTGATAGTGTCCAGGGACAGCTCAGATGCTGCTCTGAGAAGATCCTTTTTCCATGCCCCTTTCCTTTGAGAGTTCAGACTGTTCCCCCTACTATTATCTTTTAAATGTCAGAACATTATTTATGGTGCCTTTGCAAAATAGCTTTGGATGCTCTTGGTAGAGGATTGACCTAAGTTGTGTCGCATGGGAAAGTGTCCGTGTGAAGTACGGACGGGACCTTGGGAAACGCACATCGCAGAGAAACCAGACTTGGCTGTGCACTTTTCTGCCTATTGGCCCTGGATTATGTCATCATGTGCAATTTCAAGGAATGGGCAGGCTGGTCTGGATGAAGCAAGGGTGATCTGATGCAAAGCATGATGGGAGAGGGAGGGAGCAGAAAGGGAGGGAGGGAGGGAGCGAGGAAGAGAGGGAGTGAGGGAGGTAGGAAGAGGAGGGAGGGATGGAGAGAGGGAGGCAGGAAGGGAGGTAGGAAGAGAGGAAAGAAAGGAGAGAGGGAGAGAGGGAGGAAGGGAGAGAGGGAGGAAGAGGGGATGGAGGGAGGGATGGAAGGAGGGAGGGAGCAAGGGAGGGAGGGAGAGAGGGAGGGAGGAAGGGAGGTAAGAAGAGAGGGAGGGAAGGAGCAAGGGAGGGAGGGAGAGAGGGAGAGAGGGAGCAAAGGAGGGAGGGAGGAGGGGAGGGAGGAAGGGAG